CTCGTGCTCAGTCTGATTTAGCAAAACGTAACGCGCCATGCGCAACCACCTGATACACATAAAATGCGAAACTGCAGCAACTTCCATTTCAAATACGAAAGCTCAGGTAGTTTCGCGCATCCCATTCAATTATTTCAACCTTTGTTTTTCAGTGTGTTTTCCCCATTTTACTCTATTGTTCCCCAGTTATTTTTCCTGATTTACTCAAACAGGTCTTACGCCGCGGTCTAACCATTATTAGTCGTGTCTCTTCTATTCTTGAGAATGAATTAGCTGTAAAGCTTTCAGAGCCTCAGGTAACTTTCTGTGTGAAATTTGCTGCGAGGATTCTCACATATCCTGACCACCCATTGCATGCAGAACTGACCCTTTGTCGTTCCCATCATTCAACACGCTCCCAATTCCGCTAAATTTCATCTTTAATTAACGCATAACGCAATTCACCCATACCGTATCTTGCTCGTCTATTCATAAACAAAGAGCGGACAATAAGCTTTGACCTTGGATTTTGAAATGTCCCGATGCTTGTAAAAACGTTTCTTGCAGTTTACAACGTACATTGTGACGGTTAGCGTGTATGATGTTTTAACTAAAACGTGAGCTACAGTGCTTGCAAAAGTTATACACAATACAACAAAATACAACTTTCGGCAACGTGAAACAAAAACAAGCAAATCACAGACGCTGCAGTTTAATTATCGCCTTGCACCCAGAATGTTGACGAAGCTTACATCTTGCGGCAAGACAATTTGGAATGCAGATACCGGGAAGCAAAGATCAAAAGCGCATGTGTATGCCGCATAAGAACTGCAATTTTTCCACTCACCTGGATCACGTGATTGTCTGTGTGTTCATAACGTACGCATCCTCGTAATCCCGTTAACAGTACGGGGTAATCATACCGTCACCGCGTATCTTTTCTCTGAAGACTTGACTACCGCTGGCTGTTCGATTCAGTTTAATTGATCTTACGAAAATGGCTCGAAGTAGCATGTGTCACCAAGGTCCCCCAAGTAACCCAAGATTTAGTGACCAAAATAGTGTGCAATGCGATGATGCAAAGCATCAGTAATTTGTTTTACACTAAAATGCGTTCGGTTCTGCGGTCAAGATCAATAATTAGCCATGCAAACATTCTGAAGTTCAATATAACATCGATCCAAAGCCGGGGACCATACAATGGTTATTTCATATCCAGACAACCATAAGCCAGTCGGCTTCATAAAGGTCAGCAACCTAAGCGTTCATCCAGCTTGTTTCTAACGGAGATTTTTGTATGATGTCAAGTTATCATTGACTTATGCTGTATTTCATACAGTAGGGTTTACAGATTGAAAAATCTTAGCACGCACTGAACCTGTTTAAACTCTCAGCTAGAATATCCAAACCCACTGGAATCGATCGGAAATTAGTGAAGGTTTTCAAAAGATATAGCTTAACATCCTCTCTACTGCAGACGTTTGATAGCTCGATCCCCTTTCCTCATCATTCTTTACAGACTTGCATATTCAGTAAAAGAAGAAGAAAAAAGACAAGAAAAGTCCAGTTGCAGATTTTCTAGCACTTCGAGAGACTATTACGTCTCATTCATTTTCTCAACCCTTCCTGTCCGATTGCATTCGCGAAAGAGCCATTATTGGTTCGTTCATACAAACATACATTTAAATGATGGAATGTATCTACGGATCAGTATTTTGACTCCTTACAAATTGATAATGTGTGTAAACAACTTTTTTAATCNGCGGTAATATAATAGTGCAAACTCAGAAAAACATAGTTGGTCTAAATAAGGGGCTAGGTTGACAGCAATAATTGATAAATGTTTCATTGAATTCTCATTACGTTATCAATGAAAGTTACGAAACTCAGTTTGTCGGTGGTCACACTCAGCTTCAGAAGACACGGTTACGGCCACATTGGTTTCAACTGTATACGAACTATTTTATGGGGCCTAATATTGTGGGAATGGATTATTTATCAAGTACTCAAAAGGCCCAAGTAGTCTTGTAATTTGAAAATGTGCAGACCCGTAACGGGTCATGGAACTCCATAGCCTAATTGGATTCCATAGCTTTGAACAAATGAACTTGTCTCATATGAGGATGCTATACCCTAGGCCACAGCTTAATTGTCACGGTCTGCTTTCCATGGAGCGCCTTGCCAAACTTCAATTTAGCCTTTATATTACAAAAGACCACATCACAATCTCCACTATGAAGAACGCAGCCTCTATCAGCATGCCAGATGGTTCCCAGCCCACCTGCCACGTGAATAAAGCCAGCCACATCTTGGTCACGTGACTTAATTCATGCGGAACTCATTTATCACATCGACAATCCTTCGTGCATTTGATGCCGGAGCATATAGTATCGGTACGGCTCACACTAAGATGAAAGTGCCGGTCGGCGGTGGAGCTGTGGTGACCGTGTGAAAATACGGAATGCGCACGTGCGTGTAGAAGAGACTCTCTGTTTGTGTGTGTGTGTGTGTGTGATGGCTTGTTCCCACGATGGAAAGACAAATTATCACGAGAATGGCGTCAAATGAATGATTGGGATCTTCAGGTTTTTGCAGGTAAATAAATTTATGCAACCTGAGATGTGTCTGACGTGAAGAAAAATGTGTTCATACGTCGGTTTCTGAGCAAACGTGCTCCGCTTTAACTCTTCACCTGCCTCCTCTCATTCACTGTTTCTGTTTCCCTCCGTGTTGACCGATGCTTTGGCATGAGTCAGTTTTGGTGTTTGTCAACTGTGTTCACTCCGACGGGAACATCAAACTAGTACTGACGTGGGTGTGGAATTAACCATGCATACACTAGATCCGTATTTGTCGATTCATCGTTTTGAACACTGGATCTCAGATATCCTCAAACATATTTTTGATATCAACATAGTGAACAACTGAGCTTCTATCTGAAGTTATACCTCCTGGTGAGTTGCGAGGTGGCACGAGAAAGCAGCAATTTGAGAACAGAAAACCAGATTTAGTTGGATATGCCCGATTGAACTTTCCAGATAGTACCCTGACTTTCTGCGCTCCGGTCCGATTCGCAAACGACTGATTCCATTAAAATATTAGATGTAAACGAAATCTAATTGAGGATTCCCTTTTGCCAGTCGTGGTGTAAGCTGATTGGCAACACCCACGTCATCCGTTCAACAGATTCGGAGATATAACATAATACATGATGGTGGACTTGCTCTGGATGATCAGTTATCAGGCATGAAAGGGAAAGCCGGAATTCTGTATTCAAATTTCTAATTCCTAAAGTCTAAGTTTTATTGTGAATAAACGACAAAGCCGAAGCATGCTCAATCACATAGTAGTTATTTCAGTGTTTCATCGAATCGAAACTTGAACGATTCAATGGCTAGAGGACAAATAACTTGGGATGGAAGAGGGTTCGGAGTAGTAGATACTCTGAAGCCGAAAAAGTAACACGTAAGCGAGCCGGTTAATCTGTAGCACCAGTTTGACGGAGCATCTTTTGAGGTGCGGTGACCAATTATAAACAGAAACGGAGAACAACAGAGATGATTTTTAACCTTGTCCCCTGCGAATTCCAAGCATTCTTGATTGTCCGAGAATATCCAAGAAGTAAAAACAAAAAAGATCTTCAGTCTATGTAACCAAAAACTTGAGTGCTGGTTATCGACTTGGCGGGGTAATGGTTTCAGTTTCTAATCCAAAGGTTCGCAGTTAGAGTACCACCAGGGGCCCAACTACAGCGAGAATGGTCGATAAATCCAAACAGGTATAAAATAGCTGTCTGGTACTCGATGTTAGTCTTCACACAACATCCATCAAATAAAGGAAGAACTGAGGTCAGGCGAAATGAGTAAAACTTTATCCATTCTGAAGCCTAAGCTGAATTTTTCAACGATTAGTTCGAAATTATCGGTCCTGATATCTTACTGCGTTCTCCAAAGCGGTATGGAAGGAAAAGTCTGGTAAAGTACACTCGGAACCAAATTACGTGAAAATGTGAGAACTTTCTATCAACCGAAAACCAATGTGCAACAAAACGGTTGGACTAACGTTTCCTTATCAGGACGAGGAGGCAGAAATTTTGATTTGAGCTAATCATTCTTCATATTTTATCTTCACGCACAATCCTCAGTCCGTCTAGTTAGCGATTTACTCAGGAAGTAATGAATCCGAGTTTTACCCTTGTTAGGGCTCATCAATGGTCTAGATTCAACTACCTATACTTCACAGATGCGCACTTCTGTTACACAAAGCTACTTGCAAGTAACGTTGAGTTAGATGTGAAACAAACGCATTGGCAGTGATGGCTAAAATCTGGGTCCATTTGATACCGGGTGAAGCCTGAACTGGAAACCAGAGTGCATCGGTCACGAGCGAGCAACTGATTGACAGGCAAACACGCACTCCCACAGCTGAGAACATGTAGTCGATACACTATGAAAGCCCTGTGGTGCGAATTTAGCATATAAGGGCCCAAAAGACCCTAGCTACCCTTTTAGTCCTGATTTATCCATTTACCTTTCACATTCCATAAACCAAGTAAACTTTTGTCGCATAACATCCTATATAAATATGCATCGTAATTCAAAAATATCCTGTATGGTTCACATTCTAATCGACAAAAAAAAGGTTTCCAACGAACGTCTCCCAAATGTGTGTAGGTAATTGACCTTTTACGTTTTAGTATATGAAAGTTTCTTCAATTTCCTCAATGTAACTGTGAACATTGACGGAATGAAATACGGTCAAACATTTCAACACAAGTCATTATAACCCTTGCCGTGGAAAATCATGTAACAGTGGAAAAAAAGGAAAACATTTTTATTAGTGCGTTCTGCTAACAGTTGGCTTTTTGGGAAAATTGGTCACCATGATGATCTTCAATTAAATCACAAATTATTTTCATAAATTGAGCGCGAAATATAAAACATGTTTTGCATAGTTTCATTTCTCTGAGTGCTTGATGATGCGTCATAATGCGTTCGAAGTCAATCTGCGGTGAATTGTAGCTAGATTGTATGCACATTGTAGGGTGAGGTGCATGTTCTGATAAAATTAACAAATGAATGCTCATAGTGACTGACGGCATGCGTGCCCTGGAAATCCACATGGAGACAACAAATAACACTCACCTGAATCGGCACGGAACTATCGGGAATGGGAATTGCTGAACAACTATCGGGGTGTTCTGGTTCCACCACGTAACCCTCAACGAACGGAAACCGGGACGCCACAGAATCTGGTCTAATCTGTTCAACGTGTTGATCTGAAGTCGGTCTGGTCGATTCAGATGGCGTAGAAAGAGCGCCATTGATGGACGGTGCACGATATTCTGTCCCGAGCGATGTGAATAGTTCTAATGAATTGGAAGGGATGAAAATACTCGCCTTGAAGGACTCTGTAGCCAGTCGCCTTTGCCGTAGTCCGGATGATCCTGCATGCACACGAGAATGCTTCCGTAGAGAACTGGGATCTGTATATCGTTTCAGACATCCTGGGAAAGGGCAAGCATAGGGTTTCTGCTACCAAAAGGGAGAGAAGAATGTCATTTTAGCTTACATTGCCATACGTTTCCAGAAAGTATATATATTAAAAACCTAGACGAAAAGGTTAACATACAATTTATAAGATACGGTCTTGGAACTTAGATTTCTGGACACGGGCAATGTTCAAACAACACTTCTCACCACCATCACCAGCATATATATACAGGTGTTGATCAAACTCGTGTAACATCACTCTGATTTTGGAAATACATTTCAGTCTCCAATATCATGTATATTGTATTGTATGTATATTGATGGCTAGTGGTAAAGTATAATTATTCCTGATTTTATCTTCCAGTTCTATGTTCTTAGTTGTTTTCTATTACCGTTTGAATTAACGTGACCTTGAGTGTTGCCATAAAGTCTGTGGTAGTTCGAAAGTTACAGCTCAGATTTGGAAAATATTTTAAGCGAAGCCGCATGGGAATTCATCCTTTTTAATAAATGATTCCTGTTCTATGACATTGTTTATTAAGTTGAGCCCATGTATTCTAAATTGCTTATCTCTTTTCATTCAGTGCACAGTCAGTAAGCAAATTAATGAAAATATTCAAATTTCAATAAATTGCCTAATTTCTTGGTTACAAAGTACTCACACATTATGTATAATACTGAAAGAACTAAAAACGTAGTCCAAGAAACACACAAGTTGATCTTCATAAGTGGACCTTGAGGTGTGCGGCCCGTTGAATAAGCGTTTTGTTGTGCCACCATACCCGAACCGGATGAAACATGCAAAAGGTTTTGGCATATATTTGGAGCCTAGAGGCAACTTAATCGAGAAGCACATATATCCGATGATTCAGTTGGTGACTTGGGGGAGTGCTTCAATGTGAACCTAAGTCCAATTTAAAACACATTCAACGAAATTTCTCCTTCTAGACATAAACCGAGAAACAATACCGATCATATCAAAACAAGACGATGGTTGTATTCGATCGCAGCGGAGAAGAATTGCACACAAGCAACAAGAAGGATAGTTCGAGCTGATTAGCCGTTTTTCCCCACATCTTCGTTTGGAAAATGATGGCTCAATTTAACGTGCAGTAGAGGCCACGTGATACAGATCCGTTATGGAATGCCCAACAAAGCTAAGCATGTATTGATGATTTTACCAACAAATTCAAATCGCGTCGCCCGTCCATTTTGTAATGGCTTTATCTTGCTGTTGCCCAACGAGTAATTCAGCATCTGGTGACAGCTGATTTACTGAGCGTTTTCTATTGAACTTCGTTTTACGTCCCAAAAGGAATAAACATTCATCCTGCCTGACGAGTTAGGACGGAAGTAAATACTGAGTGCCTTTCTATTGGTCCCCTTTACCCATCAAGCTGGATATCGTAGAATGTTTTGCACTGATAAAAGGGTTTTTCGTTAACTACTCTTCTTTAAATGCATTCGCGGAAGTCATATTATTTACGGATGAAGGTTTGTATTTCTTCTCGCTTGGGGTTGACGATAAAAAACAGTTAGATCTAATTAAGTATTACTTTTTACATTTATGCAGTCTCTGGAGGGGTCAGGTTTAATGTCAAATTCATTCGAATACCTTGCAGCAGCTGAGATTTTAATTCAATCAAAAGATGTACGTGCAATACCTGCACGAACTTTATGAGTCATTGTAATAAATAAATTCTAGTTACGTTTTCAACGGTGACTTTGGCATTTCTTAATTGACGCACCA